TAGCCAATTTAGATTAATTATCAACATAAAATTAATTTAAATACGTATAACATGTATTATTATCTATGCATACAATAAGTTAATTGCTTTTACCCATCATTTTCTCCGCTTTTTTTAGAATAAACAATTACTATTTAGCAATTAAAAAAAAGAGTATATGGTAACATTACGAACAATCATGGAAAGTCAATTGAATCACAAAAAAATGAGACAAATCACAAATAATTTTTATTTCTTCTTTTGCAGTAACTCCAAAAAGTGTTCGAGGGGTCGTTTTGAGGGATATTTTGTGTCTATTTTGAGGGGTTTTTTGGGGGTGTTTGTGGTGCTTCTATGGTGGTTTAAATGATCTTTCCAAATGAGTTGCTCTGTAAGGGATTTCGGAGGTCGTTGGTAATGCTTTTAGGATCGAGTTTGGGGGCTTTTGGGTAGGTGTTGGGTTTGTTTTGGGGTTGGTTTTAGGCCTCTTTTTTTAGGTTTTTTAGGTGGTTTTGAAGCTGGTTTGGGGGCATTTGTGGTGCTTCTATGGTGGTTCAAATGGCATTTCCAAAGGAGTTGCTCTGTAAGGGTTTTTGGGGTCGTTGGTAACAATTTCGTGGTGAGTTTGGAGGCTTTTAGGTAGGTGTTGGGTCTGTTTTGATGTTGGTTTTAGGCCTATTTTTTGAGGGTTTTTTTGGGATTTTTTTGGGTGGTTTTAAAGCTGGTTTGGGGGTGTTTTGGAGCTTCTTTGATGGTTCAAATAGCCTTTCCCAAGGAGTTGCTCTGTAAGGGTTTTAAGGGGTCGTTAGTAACAATTTTCGTGGTCGAGTTTGATTTTCACCCAAGTTTTAGCTTGGATTCTTACTTGTTTATCACCCTCAAATTGTGAGTTTGATTTTCTTATGTGATTATAAATCCATCTTTTTTTTTCAATTATGAAAATTTCACCGCATAACTTGACATTACTATTTTTGTTATATTTTATATCCTTAAAATTCGAAAATTTTCTTCTTGAATGATGAAAAGTGAAAATAAGCATTCTAATTTCATCATATAACTTTACACCCCTACTAATGTTATATTCTATAATATTACCAAACCCAAATCTTTTTTTTTCCTTTTAAATATTGGCAAACCCATTTAAATGCTCATGGCCGAGTAAATTATAAAGTTCTTCTAGTTTTGAGATACAAATTAGTTTATCCTTTTTGTTTCAAAAATTAATTATTTAATCATTGTTATTTATTTTATGTTATTTTGAATTTAGTTTGTTTTTTATTTTCAAAAATAAAAAAGAAAAATAAATATATATATTATAAAAATATTGATAAAAAAATAAGATATTTTATTAACATCTAGAAATTTTGAATGAACAAGAATCCATGTCACGAGATCATATTGGATGCGGCTCTCAAATTTTATTAATGAGTTGTCCAAACTATACACTATAGATTTCTAACATGAAGAACTAAAGAAAAGCATGAAGAGCAATGGTTCTCTCGCACGTATTGATAAGTGGTAGTTGATGGATCGTATCTTCATGAAATTCATACAAGCACAACCTCATTTGTTAAACGGAATCTTATAGTGAGAGAAATAGAACACAAAAACCCAAAAAAGCTTCTCTACAGTAATCCTCCCATTTTTTATAGCTTTCCTTGCACTGCATTGATAGCCTTAAAAACTCAATTCTTCCATAGGAATCGACCCACCAACCGTCACAATCCGTTGCTCCACTGCAATAGACACATAGCATTGCATTTGAAAAACAAAAACATCAATATAAAAGAATTCAATAACTAGATTTCTTGAAATAAATGGAAGTATAAGTACATTGTACTCACCCCGATGAGTGCTTCAAGCTTGCTCTTCACAAGACGAGTAATCTTGTTTCACTTGCTGCAAGCATCTCAAGGACCTACAATCCCAGTAACCAATTACATGTAATTGAAATATTAAAGATTACATCATTTAAAAATAACAATCCTTACATTCAATTACTAATTGAGGAAAAAAAAAGAACTTGGAAAATACATTGAAACAATAAAATAAAACAATCTGGAGAATGAAGTAAAGGAAAATAACTCACCCTTAAATGTTACGTATCTCGCGAAGTCTGCGAAAAGCAATGCAATCATTTTTAACTCTTTTTGCCCCTATACTATATAACGCAAAATCCAATTTTGTAAACAAAATGAGTTAAGGAATCCATCTTTTGTAAATAAAAGAAAAATGAGTCGAGAAGAAAAACCAATAATTTATAAAATTCGGTATCTAATTTTTCTAGGTCATGTCTTCGATGTGAGCTATTTTTGTCGAGTTAAATGCACTTCATATTAAATACGACCTAATACTTTAAAAAAAAAACACTCAAGAAAGCTTTTAATAGTTGTTTAAGAAATAAACTTATACACGGAGTCGCTGCCCTTCAACTCGGTGAACATGAACATCTATCTTTTTGAAGTCGATACTTTGTTGTTCTCTATAAAACAAGAGGTAAGAGAAAAATCATTAAAAAAATACAAGCAAAGTTAAAATACGATCGACTAGCTAGAATCAACCATAACCAAAAGGAAAAAGCTCAAAACTTTTAATCCACATCAAGCAGTTTTAGATGCTTGAGAGAGAAGTCCCCTAACAAGGTAGATGTGAGATCGATCGAAGCCTCTCGGAATTTTCAAAGAAGATAGATAACACTTCAACGAACGATTTCCGGATCACTCTCATCTTCCGTAAGCTAAACCTATTGAAGCCGGGCATCCGAAACCCTTTTTCATAACAAATAAATCAAAGGGATTTTTAGAAGGCGGATATCCTCACTTGCCATGAGGCTTTACCACATTCTTGAAAATCTTATAAGCAGCGGCCCTTGCATAATTTCAAACAACTCGGTAAACAATCATGTCTAAAACATTCATAAACCACTCGATAAACAATCTACCACCGACAATAACTAATCCGAGCACACACCATTTCCATAATTTCAAACTCCAAATCTTTGAATTCAACGAACCTATCAATGGTCAAGCTAGCAATTAATGACCCCATAATGCACACAAATGCAAATAACTCAATCAAGGGTAGTGGATTGCACTTTTTACCCATTATTTTGCTCAAATTAAGACTTGCCATCCTATAGACCTCCTCATCATCATCTTCCTCTAGTCTTGGCATTCCAATCAAGGGTAGTTGTCCTCTACCCTCACACCTTATAGATCAAACACAACCCATCAATTGAATGACAAAAAACAAAATCAAACAAAACATTACCCGCCCTTGCCGACGCTACAAACTTTGGAGGAGCCGCAAATGGGTGTAACCTTCGCCGCTCGAAAACACCTAGGGAGACGTTGTCGGATGCAAGAAACTAGAAAAAAAAACAAATTATGGGTTGTTGGTAACCGCTTCGGCGAGAGAGAGAGGTGGGTTTGCAGAGGCGAGATCGACAGAGAAACGAAAGGAACGACGGGCAAGGACAAAAATGGAAGATGGGGTTTGCGAGAGACGAGTTTTAGGGCTATTTTGGTAACGATTCACCGAGAGAGAGAGAGTGGGTTTGCGAGAGACGAGATCGGCAGAGAAAGAGAAGGTAACGACATGCAAGGGCGAAAATAAAAAAAACAAAAAACAAATCGTTTTTCTCCCCGTTTCCTCCCAATTTTTGGAGGAAAATGGGTCCCACCATTTTTGCATTCCGTATTTTTTTTTCATTCCACTCGCTTTCCTCCCTCTTCCCAAACGGCATAAACATTTCTTTTCACTCCACTTTTTCTCTCCCCCACTTTCCACCCTATCCAAACAAGGGGTAAAGGAAAATGAAGAAAGAAAATTAAAATTCCCGACAAAAATAAATGATGGTGGTTCATTGGAGATTCGAGTTCTTTTGGGTTGACAAAGGATCTCCGTATAATCTACTCGTCATATCGCCTATGTCTTCAATTTGAAAATGTTAAAATAATTTGAAAACAAAAAATTCTTTTAAAAAATAATAAAATTATAATTTATATTCAAACACCATGAATAAAAAGATTAATAAAAATATTTAATTAATAATTTAAAAAAATAATATATTTATATGAAAAAATTAAAATTTATATATTCGATTAAGAAAACATAACAAAATTTGTTATTTTGAGGATAACATAAACATTACCAATTAATTAAAAAATAACTAAAATACTTAATTGATAATTTTTTAAAAAATTAATACACTAAAAAAATATTAAAATTTATATATTTAATTTAAAAATTAATATATCTATAATGTAATTATCTCGATTTAAAACCACGAAAGTAAAGAGTATTAATGCCTTTGAAGACTTATCTACATTCTACGGTATCAAATTGACATGTATCTCTTGGCCCACGGAAAAAGCAAAAGTCTCTAATTTAAAGTTGTACTTGTTTTCACGACTTACGCTTCGTACGATTTGTTTCTCTGTTTGCTATTGGAAGGCGATGTCACGATTTCTATGATGGGCCTCATCTTTGCCCTTTGTTTAGATAGGGAAGAAAGCAGGGGAGAGGAAAAAAAATAGGGAGGAAAGAAACGTTTTCCTTCATTTGGTTTGGAGAGGAAATCAATGGAAAGAAAAAAAATTAAATAAATAGCTTTTTGGTGGGACCCATTTTCCTCCCAAAATTGGGAGGAAACTGGGGAAAATCACGGACAAAACATCAAGAATATGGTTATTGTCATTTTTGCCCTCATCTTCCTCGTTCGTTTGGTTTGCTTTCTCCATTTCTTTACTATCCTTCTCCATCGTGTTTTGTGTTGAGAAATTTCTTTATGCATCCACTTTGTTGCATCTCCACCGTGTCCGATAACTCATCGACGAATCTATCCATAGCAATCATCGGCGGATCCGACCCCAATCCCGTATCAATCACTATTGAACCACATAACCACAACTAAAATCACAACAACACTAGTCATTTCTCAAATTAACACCCCCACAACCACAACACCGCCAACAAGCTGCAGCGGTAATAACGGAACGTATTATAACAAAAGTAATAAGATGAGTCAGCGAGAGAGTTTCTTCGAGAGGGAGCAACCACTTATACGGGTGGATATGAAGATAAATGATATGGTAGGGAATGGAATTTTTGGGATTTTATTTAAGTGGGTGAATTATGGGAAAGGTTGGAGGCCGAGATGGTTTGTTTTGCAAGATGGAGTGTTGTCGTACATCCAAGCATATTATCTTTATTTATTTATACAAAATAAAAAAAGTTGAGCAATGGATTGCGTTGTTAATCGAAAGCATATACACTCGGACAAATATAAATATTCTTTTAAAATGAAACCATGTATAAGTATTTACATCCAACCTATTATCTTTTAAAATAAAATATAAATATTCTTTTAAAATGAAACCATGTATAAGAGTTTGTTGGATCTACGACAAAAGGAAACTTAAATGTAAGAAAACTCCATCTAATTTTTACCCTCATGTAATTAATGTCTTTTTTTTAATTGGTAAATAGTAATTTTTTAATTAAAAAAAATTGAGAAAATGATAGGTAAAAGCAACTAACATATTATATTCATAGATAATAATACATGTTATACATATTTAAATTAATTTTATGTTGATAATTAATCTAAATTGGCTATTGAATTAATTAATTAATAAACAATTATCGATTATTATATGGAGAAGATTCATTATCCATCTTATCATTTTAGATAAATGCTACATGCTAGATTTTTATTTTATTATCATTTGTATTATTTTCATGAAAAAACTATTCATATAAATTTATTATAAGTATTTAAATATAGAAATATAAGCATAGGGGTATTATAGTAAATATATAATAATACATTTTTTTCCTTCCTCTTTTTACAATTATCCAAATAAAAAAAATATACTTTCTTTCCTTTCATTTTCATTTTTATCCAAACAACAAATGAAAAATATTTTTTTTAAGAGAGCTTTCTTTCCTCTGTTTTCTTTCTTTTTATGAGGAAATATCCAAACAAGAGGGTTAACTACTTCTTCAACGAAGTGCGGTCCTAAAAGAGGACCTCCTTTTTTCCTCTTTTTGTCTCCATACAAAACGAATATTTGACTGGTGGGGCCAACTGTGAAGATTTTACTCCACGTATGTGGGCATGCCAGTATTTCTTTTATCTTTTCAGTCCTGCGAATGGAAAAACTCTGAACCTCGGACGTGTGAATATCTCATTAGAATCTTCAGTTTTGATTATTTTGCATCTTCAAAATGCCCAATCAATGTCCCCGTGTGCCTTTTCTTTACAACGTCAAGACCAAACAAGAGCAGTTCAGGTTACTCTAAAAAAACAAAATTCACTGTATCCACATAGAACCATTGGATCTCTCCTAACTCTAATTTCAATTTTCATCCATTCAAATACCCTTTGTGCTCCTATATTACATCAAAAATATCATTGCAATCTTTTTACTTAAATACAATTTATAATAAATTTTATATTATTATACAACGATGCAAAATAGTTTTTTTATTAATTTTTTTCATCGGAATGATTAATTTTTGTTATTTGACTAACGTTTGACCAATTAAATGTTGACACATACCAAATAAAGGCTAAAAATATATATATATTTTAAATTGGTTTTTTTAATTTAAAATAAATAATACTGGTTATAAAATCGTTAAAAATTGAAAACAAAATTCTAAAGAAAATTTTTAAAATTTTTATGTATTTTTTAAAATTTTCTTTAATAATAATAATTATAAAAGTCATCAAAAAGTGAAAAAAAAATCAGTATTTATTAAATTTGTTTAGAATTTTTTTCCAATTTTTAATCATTTTTATTATTAATTATTTTAAGTATAAAAAATAAAAAATATATATTTTTAAAAAATATATATATATTTACTTTTCATTTGACAAGTGTCGTTACGTGATTGGTCAAATGTTAATTAACCAATAAAAAAATTTCAATTTGAAAAAAAAATTAATAAAATGATTGTTTTGCATTAATATCTAATAATATAAACTTATTTATGAATTATATCTAAATAATGAGATTACAACGATATTGTTTTTATATAATGCAAGGCACAGCGTATATTTAACCTAATCTGAAAAAATGAAAGAAATTTGTCAAAACCCTTTTAAAAACTCAATGGATTTTATCAATCATTTATGTCCAATTTATTGGACCTAGGTCCATAATAAATTTTGGCAGAGAGTAAATTAAAACCTTGCTACAGCTGCTGAAGCAACGCAAGGTTGAGAATTTGGAATTTGGAATTTAGCCTCCGAATTGAGTCAGAGATTAGGCAATGCCTGGAAAAGGACAATCAAGAGAAGGGAGGTGATGATTTCTTTGTTAAGAAATAGGAGGGATGTGACTTGTTAGACCAATCAATCAGATAGGCTGTGTTGTAATCTCGTTTGATGCAGGCTGAAGATAATAAAGAATCCCTGTATCAAGAACTTGATTGGCAAATTCTTTTATATCTCACTTTAAAAAGGCTGTCTAGAAGCAGCCGCCGAAAGAGAATCAAACCTTGAAAAAAGCATAGAAGACTTGTCAGCTGAATTTGTAAAAATGGCACAGAGGACATGACGTCGAATGGAACTGATGAGAGGCCAACAAGAAAACAACATATTCTATTTTATACAACAAAATTTTAACTATTATCGAAATTCCATTAAATTGCTCATCCTTTTTTTTTTTTTTCTTGAACTTTCTAACAACACTCAAGATATTTTATTAATCTTGCCTTTGGAAAAAAATAATAATAATAATAAATCTTACAGTAGGATAATCCTTTGCATTTCTTGTACTCAATATCCTTCTTTCATGGCTTATGCCTTTGTGATGGTGTTTCCTCTTAGTTCATCCAGACGTAGCTATCGAGTCATGGTAATTACTATCTGTATTTCATTAAACAAAAACAAACCTCATTTTGTATCCTATTTTGTCTCAACTCCTTTTCAAAACTTTCAACATTTCAGAGCTTCAAATAAGAGTTGATCTTAACAACACATACATAACATTCAAAACCAATCCCATTGTCAACCTTAAAATTCCTATATCCTTGAACAATAATACATAAATGATTTTTTAAAAAGAAAGCCAGTTTTCTTACCCTCAAAATCAGCTTGCACCTGCTTCACCAAATCTTCTAATAGCAAAGGTATTGAAAAGTCTGATGGCTGCCTGTATTTACTTTTTTTTTTTTTTTTCTTCTGTAATACACCCTCACCTCATAAACAGAGTGAATTACAAAAATTGGTCTCTCTCATTTAGAAAAATAAGTTAATTAGTTACTTTTACAATTAAAAAAACTAATCATTTAATCTTTTATATTTTAATTTCGTCAATAATTTAGTCTTTTATCATTTCTATTAGATTAGTAATTTTTATTCATAAATTTTCTGAATTTTAATTTCAATTTTTGGTTGAATAGAGAGAGAAAAAAACAGATGAAAAGACATAAAATATTTGAAAAAATTATTAATTTAATAAAAAACTGATTAAAAAACTAAGTTATTAGTGAAATTAAAATATAAAAAATTAAATAATTATTTTAAAAAAAACTAATTAATTTATTTTTACAAAACAAGAGGAACTGATTTACAATTTACTCCTCATAAACGTGACCCTCTATATTCCAAAATCAATCATATTGCTTTTGGAGCCAATTTAAATTCCATTTAATTATTACAATATGCGTTCAAAGCATCATTAACTTTCCAAATCAGTTTCATCATATCAATTACATCTCATTAATTACATTCTCGGCCACATTAACCATGACTCTAATCAATAATCAATCCAAATGGTAATTAATTGAAAGCCTATTTGGATTAAAGCTTAAACAGCTTTGGTTTGGTGAGTTGGCTGAAATTGGATTCTTATTAAATCAGATTCCTTTCAACTGTAAACATATGATCATCTCTATGTAAACATAGAAGATGAATGGAATGTTACTCCTAAATTTTTTATTTTTTTGTAAATGTATTTTCTCCATAATTGGAGCTTCATCATATTGGTTTTCCATCCAACCAGCGTGTATAGAATTCCAACGCCTCTTGGGGTTTGTATTCAGGGACGGTATGACCTGCACCCTGCATTAATTATCAGTAAGATTTAATTAGCAAATAGTATACTTGATAAAAAATTAATGAATAATTATGCCAAAAACATCTGATAATCATATGTCATTTAAATTAAGAAATGACAATGTGAATGTTAAAAATACTTGTATATCAAGAGGAAGTACGTACGATTAACTAATTAAAGCATAAATTATGTTTCAAACCTTAATGGTAATAAAGGTGAGGTTGTTCTCGTACTTTTGCAAATATCTGCAAATAAAGATCAATCCAGTAAGAGTTAAAAACCAAAATAATAATAATAGTGATTTATAAATCTGATTATGATTATTCCTTCACTTTTTCAAAATAAATAAATAAATTGGGTTAAAAGCCTTTTTATTTTTATTCTTAGCTAAGTGGTAATAATTTAATTTACCCGGCAACTTGTTTGTTAGACTTCCAAGCCCTCCATTCATCTATTATCTTGTATCTAAGTGATCTTGTCCACGCCTGCGTCCCAGTGAATGGCACACACATATCATGGTCTCCACTGCAATCAAGTAAATAGGTCAGCGGTTTAATTGATATTTTTTTTTCTTTCTTTCTTTCTTTCTTTCTTTTTTTTTTTTTATGAACAATTTTTAGATGAGCTAGCTCAACAAAATGCTGGATACCGAGAACTTTATACCTAATGTCTTCCCAAGAAAACTAGAATTGTGTATTGCTCACTAATTTTCCACGTATAATAAGCTAATTGTCATAGCATCCAGCATTATAAGACTCTAATAGTTTATATATATAATCATTTCACTAGCATTAACAGCACATATGAAGATCCAAATTTTAAAAAATTATAAATGGACAGTACATGTACGTAGAATAGCAGTGAAAAGCTGAGAAAAATCCCTTCATATTTTTGAATCTCATGATCCCATCTATGTCAAGTCATGAGACACAGGCATTTTGCATTTTGCATATCTTATATGTATGAAAATTTCTTAGATAGATACCTGTATATGAGTGCTCGATATCCCTGGGAAGTTAGATTTTTGTGGTAAGGGATCATACTTCCTGCATCATGGCGATACAGTAATCTACTCGTGCACAACTCCCAAGCACCGGTTATGGATTCCTATATGTTATATATGGATCATAAAAACCATTAATAATTAATGTTCAGATTTCTACATGCATAATCATTTAAGATCAAACCAATACAGGTTCGATGTGATGGATCTCAAAAAAAAAAAAAAAAATTGTAAACAAGGGTATTTAATATGTTTAGATTTTTTACCGTTTCTGCATGAATTGCTGTCCTAACTGATGGATCATTTAGCCAAGTAGTTGCCACTTCATCATTCTACAAAATCAACAATAAAGAATAACACTTAAAACAAAAAACAAAACGAGAAAAACTAAACTAGAATAATGAAGAATAGGATGCTTAACCCAAAAAGAAGGAAAAAGGAAAAGGTATGCATGCGGTTGCCTTGCATATTTTTCACCCTCAATTTTCTTTTGCCTCTGCTTTTTACTACAATATCAACAATAAATAATAACACTAAAAAAAAAAACAAAACAAAACAAAACTAGAATAATGAAGAATAGGATGCTTAATCCAAAAAGAAGGAAAAAGGAAAAGGTATGCATGCGGTTGCCATGCATATTTTTCACCCTCGATTTTCTCTTGCCTTTGCTTTTTAGGGGGTTTAGGACGGGGATTTTCTCGTTATACGAGAGATTTTATAATAGTTAAGGAGTAATTAGTAGTATTTATAACAGTTACTCTATGAATCCACTCCATTGAGAGAGATAAATATATATAAAAATAATAATAATAATAAAAATTAGATGAATATGAAAATGTTCTTATCATTTTTTTTTATGTCTTCTTATGATTTTATCATTTTTGGTGAGTTGAGATATAATTTATTTATTTTTTTATGTATTTCTCTCTCCTCAAAAGTGAATACATAAAATAATTACTGTATATACAACTAATTACTCTTTTTTAAATATTATAAAATTTCTCCTTGTCTACTATAAAATCACTTATACGGGTCTGATAATGGCATAAATGGCCAGTAGCGGATCTCACGTGAGGCTAGATTGAACTTACAAATTTTAGACATGATCTCCACTAGGGGCTTGGATTGTTGATACCATACAGCTTTAAGCCTCGAAGTTTATGCAAGGCCCACGACCTTCGGTTTTACTCGATGGGCAAGGCCCAACATTCTAATGATACCCGGTATTTTGGACTTGGAGTCATACGGTTTTTATTCAACTTTGAAAACTAATTTAATCTCTAAAAAAATCCGGGAGTTTTAAACTTAACAAGTCCCAGCTTTTCCATACTGGACATTTGAAAAAATAAAAAATAAAATAAAATAAAATAAAAACTCTTTGTTTAAGCCTAATTGCCAGAAATTGAGCCAATTGATTTATCTTCATTTTATGTATCTTTCTATAAAAGAGTAAATTATATATTAATGTCTTTGCTTAGTTCTTTTAGTTTTGAAAAATGAATTAATCAATTCTTTTTATTATAAAAACTAATTATTTAGTTTCGAATAGTATGATTCTATTTAACTTAATATTAATTTATTTTTAAAAATATCTTTTTTTTCATAATTATTTTTGTAATATATATACACACACCAAAATAGAAAAGAATATAAAATAAAAAAATGATTAAATAACAAGTTTTTTTAAAAAAATATTTGTTTCTCAAAACTAAAAGAATTAATTTACAATTTACGTACTATTAAGTTAATTTAATTGTTCATTTAAATTTAATTTGGTTAGAATTAGAATTAATTAAGTTAATTATGTTTAATTACTTGAATTATAAGTTTATTTATATTAAAAGTTGTTATTTAATTGTTAATTTAAATTTAACTTGGTTAAAATTAGAATTAATTAAGTTAATTTGATTTACATTTATTTAATCAATTAGGTTAATTATATTTAATTAGTTGAATTAGAAATTTATTTATATTAGAAATTGTTAATTAGTTTTTAATTTAAATTTAATTCGATTAGAATTAAAATTAATTAAGTTAATTAGATTTATATTCAATTAAATAATTAGGTTAATTTTGTTTAATTGGTTGAATTAAAACTTTATTTATATTACAAATTGTTAATTAATTGTAATGTAAAATTTAATTTGGTTTGAATTAGAATTAAATAAGTTATTTTGAATTTTATTTATTTAATTAATTAGGCTAATTCTGTTCAATAGGTTGAATTAAAAATTTATTTATATTAAAAATTATTAATTAATTGTTATAAAAAATTTAATTTGGTTATAATTAGAATTATTTAAGTGAAATTGATTTTTAATTAATTAATTAATTAGGTTAATTTTGTTTAATTGGTTGAATTAAAAAATTTTTATATTAGAAAATTTTAATTAATTTTTATATAAAATTTAATTTGTTTAAAATCAAAATTAACTAAGTTAATTAGATGTATAATTAATTAATTAGGTTAATTATGTTTAATTTGAAGTTTGTTTACATTCATAATTGTTAATTAATTGTTAACTTAAATTTAATTTGATTAGAATTAGAATTAATTAAGTTAATTAGATTTATAATTAATTAGGTTAATTATGTTTAATTAGTTGAATTATAAGTTTTTTATATTATAAATTATTAATTAATTTTTAATTTAAATTTAATTTGGTTAGAATTAAAATTAATTAATTTAATTAGATTTATAATTGATTAATTAATTAGGTTAGTTTTGATTAATTAGTCGAATTAAAACTTTATTTATAGCAATTGTTAAATTATGTTACATTTAGAATTAATTAATTTAATTAGTTCGTATATAATTATTGAAGTGTGTCGAGATACGACATAGTATATCAAACTTGAGGAGTTAAAGACCCCTTAGGAATTGAGGAGAAACAAGGTTGGTTTAATGTTTTGTGATTGAGCTAGGAAGACGAGTTTGAGTCTTAATTTCAATGAAGTATCCGAGATAATTTGTTGGTCTCGGTATGCGTAAATTGATTGTTGGTTGATTTAATTTATTATTTGTGTTATCATTTGTAGGATTTGTTAATTGAAAAATGTGTAATTTAAGGAGAGACTCTATCGAAATTTTATTAGATGTTTAGGAAAATTATTTATTAAATAATTTATAATATATATATTTTTTTCAAATTGTTATTCATTTGTTAAATTATTTTAGATGTTATTCTTGAATTAAACCTTGTGAATTGGATAGATTTGGTTGCAATGTCGGTGGCCATGACTTTAATGTTGGTCTCGGTATGCATAAATTGATTGTTGATTGATTTAATTTATTATTTGTGTGATCATTTGTAGCATTTGTTAATTGAAAAATGTGCAATTTACAAGAGAGATTCTGTTGAAATTTTATTAGATATTTAAAAAAATTATTAATTAAATAATTTATGATATATTTTTTGTCAAATTGTTATTCGTTTTTTAAATTATTTTAGGTGTTATTCTTGAGTTAAACCTTGTGAATTGGGTAGATTCGGTTGCAATGTCAATGGCCATGGCTTTAATGTTGACCGTGCGGCTAATAGTAGGGGTATACGAGGATGTGACACTCGCTGGTCCAATTGCTTGGGGTGCGGACTTGATAGTGGTGCAAGCACGTTTGCATCCCCTCTAATAGTGTCCTTCGATAGTGCCTCCCGTTGTGGATGATCCCATCATAGTTTTCTCGACTCTAAGAAGTTTTACCGAATATGATGATGAACGGACCATTTGGATCGTGAATAACTAGTAAGTAATATGTTCGACAATTTGGTTTCATCAAGCAAGTACTCTACAAAAATCATTGAAATTTTTAAGAAGTGGTTGGACTTCGCTAGCTCTATATGGAAGTTTGTCTTCATAAATACGAAAGGCTTCTACTTTAGTGAGTTTAAAGTAACATATTATTAATTATTTACTTACATTTCATTTAAAGTGTTAATTTAACATGAAAAATATTAATATTATTTTTTTTTCATGTAGAAGTACCTGTTATGGGATGCAACTATTGACGAACCGATTAAGGATGCGTAGGAGAGTCTAGCACGAAGGCAATATGACGACATGCTCAATAAGCTAAAGTATAAGGATAATAGACATGTGTATGTTATACAAGAGGGTGGAAAGCATGACACCGGGATTTGGCCACTTCCGAGTGTCGAGCCCAATCTCAATAAGCGTCTCAAAATTGCATGTCGAAGATAGATAGTGTCGGTGTTGTCCCATCTAAGCACACTAGAGGATCCATTTCTTTGATCGAGCATGCCGAGCATTTGGTAAATACTATATTATCCATTGTATTATAACTTAGTTTTTTCGTTATTTAATCTTATATTCTTTTATTTATTTTTTTCAATATCATAAATTGGGTTATAATCTAAAATCTTACGAGCTATTCATGACCACTCACAAACGAGAAAGATAGAACATTCGTCGATAGGTAGTTGCGAGATAGCAATGGTAAGGTTTTATATATATATTTTTTAAATATATGTACTTCTATCAATATAATCTAAAAAAATATATGTATGATTTAATATTGTTATTATTTCAATAACTTAGGAGGGCATGTAATTAATGGAAGAAGTAGTTGTTAAACAACGAAGCATATAGATGATTCATCGTTTCAAGATATCGGCATATTCAAGATATATTTGGATGTTATCGAAGGAGAGAAGAAGCAAAGAATGCATAACATTAGAACTTATGCGTCTCGGTATTACTCGCATTCTAGCGCCAACTCTTCCTCTGCAACTTCGCGATGTCTTGGTGGTAATATTTCGCCTAGTACGAAGATCGAATCACGGGGATGGAGGCTACCATCCAACGAACGGAGTTAGTCAAATTAGCAATATGTAGACTCGGTTGTAGAGAGTTATGAAATTATTAGAGAATCTCTAACCGCCTCCTATCCCTCTTGCCGACTCTCCCACAACCTAGTAGTCGATCATTCCTCTTAACAACCAAGCGATCGAAAGATGATGCGGATAATAAGGACTAAGTTTCTTTTTTAATTTTTTTTAAATATTTTTATATATCTTAACGCATTTATATATTTATTTTATTTAATAATATAACATATTTTTTAATAAGGTGTTTATATTTGTTTGTTGTTACAATTATCAATAAACAACAATTGAATTTTTTAAAAAAACAATATATTTAGCGACGGAATAGAGAGGATAATTAACGACGGATGCATACTCAATCACTAAATAGTGATGGAACGAGAGAAGAAATTGTGAGGATATTAGTGATTAAAATTTAGCGACATAACTTTTCATCATTATTTAACAATAGATGTAAATGAAAATAGCGATGGATTTGAGACATTAGGGACAACTGATTTAGAAACATTTAGAGACGGACATTCAACAAAATAGCAACAAAAAAATTCAGTCATTAAAAAAAAAGGACCATTGTTTTAGCGACGGATTGAATATTGTCTCCAATCCGTCGCTAATTGCATATAGCGACTTATTTTTTTAAATAGTGATGAAAAAATTCTTTGCTATTTTGCAAAATTTTTATAATAACGTATGGTGTAAGTTTTATGTTTAAGACACGTTATAATAGTTTTATATTTAAGAATTTGTGAGTGGATTATATACATAATGATCAAGCTATGTGTGTTATTGAACGTCTCTTATCAATCTTTAAAAGAAGTTCGATACTTCTTCATTGGTAGAGGATATTTGTGTGTGGATTAGAGTTTTGTTTTCTGGTTAGGATATGCATAGGAAATAATGTATATATAGACAAAAAAATTTATGATTTACTATATGATGGATAGTCTGAATAAGAATGATTTTATAGTGATTAAGTTTCTTGAATTAGTATTTGTGTGTGTTTAAGCAAGTACTTCATGAATGTTGTTTAATTAATTAATTAATTAATTTTTGTTTCAAAAAAATGTTTTTTTTTTCCTCATAAAATCTTCTCATCTTATCTAGTTCTGATTTTCTTTCCTATTTATTAGGAAAAAAGAAAAAAGAAAAATAATATGATTGACTAAAAATGATTAAGTTATAAAGAGATTTAAAAACATATAAATTCAATATATAATTTCTGAAACTACGAGAACTAATCAATTTATTAATAAACTATAAAGACTAATTTATAATAAACTCATGAAAAGTAGTCAGGGAAAGAGAGAAGTGGGTTTGAGGAATGAACTTACCGTGCATGCAACAGTCAGGTCATGTTCTGCTAATTGAGGCCATAATGGGACAATGCCAGCTTTTACTGGTGCCCAAAGTGGCCAAGCACGCCCAAACATTCTCTTTCTAACCGAGACGTTCCTTTGGGCCTCCCCTAATAGCTGAAAGCTGTCCGGTAACCTTGTGTTTGCTTTAGAGTCTCGTTTTGATTCTGGGTTATGATAGCATGGCTCAAGGACGTCATAAATGTTTAATTCCCAAATAGCCTAAACAGACGCATCCCATACCCACATGCATAGAGCAAAACGTTAAAATAGGAGATAAACATTTATTCATTTATTCTACAATAATTATCTTGGCTTTCTCAAACCAATATATTTTCTTCTTTGAAACTTTCTTAGGAACAAAAAAAAAAAAAAGCCGATTGTTAAAAAATTATATATATATAAAAAAACTGATTGCATCACGAAAATCATCTCACCTTGCTGATTTTTTGGAGGATCATACTACAATTATCAGTACTGGGATCGAAGTAATTTTCTTTACAAGCAGCTAGCACGTCCTGCAAGAAAGGAATTGGTGTCATGCATTCAATATTCCGACAAACAAACTTTGTAAGAAGCAGAAAATTTTACTTGATTTATTTAATTTCTTTCAAAATATTTTTGATTGAATATTGCTATATTCGGGCTAGCAAATTACTAATTATTGATATGGTCATCAAACATATAAAACATAATTAAAAGGATAAGTAAGCATGTCTATTCTTATATAATATTCAAAATCGCATATCTATTTTTAAGTTTTTAATTACATTCTATTTATTCTCAAAAATTTTTGAAATGCTTAATATGTCTTTTCAATCAATTTTTCTAACTATAATATTTTTTTATCGAAATATCCCCGATTGAAATACAAAAAATAAAATAAAATTTTAAAAACTTTAAAAATAAAACATGTAAGTCATGCGACTTTAACTCTTTTATTTTTAATAGAAAGTATTTTAATCAAAAAAATTATTTATGATCGAAAAAATTAAAATTAATTAGAATGACTAATTAAATATTTTAAAACATTTTAGAGATAGATAAGATCCAATATAAAAACTTAAGAAATAATTGAAGAATTTAAGTATTAAATAAAAATACATGGATATATTTATCATATACAATTAAAAATTTAAGATTGAAATTTAATTAAGGTACTCATAGCCACCAGATAAATATCATCCGAGATAATGCCCATCCCATGTACGAATGGAACAAGAGCATTGCCATCAATAATTTGGTCTGTCACTCCATTCCCCACCATATATCCCTACAATATGAAATGGACTGCACATTAATTAATTTCACAATAATTAAACCATATATAATGCATGTTTTTCCAAAATTTTGACCTAGCTATACGTACCTTGAAATTGATGATGGGCTTTGCACCAGCTTTGATTCCTAAAAGAGAAACAACGTACGTACAATTTATATCACTATATACTACGTCGTTGAATTGAGAATGATCATGCATGCTTACTCAATACATATATATATACCTTTTACTACTTGAGAAGCGAGAGTGGGCACATAGACACCAGCGTAAGATTCTCCAGCCATATAAAATGAATTGTTCACAAACTCCGGATAATGCTCAAACCACTAATTTCAGAACAACAAATTTCATGTTAATTTTTCATTCATCCACATACATATATATATAGATATATATGAACATTGATTGTGCCCCTTTTTACTTGGACGCAAATGTTCCTTCAAATAAATTCTTTCTAGTTCAAAAACTAATAGAGGTAAAATGGGAGAGATTTTGCTCATTTTCATTTAATTATATGTCCTTATCCATTATAATCGAACATTTTAAAGGAACTTACGTACAATTTTAACAACTTTTGCACTGCTCAATAGTTAACTTATATAAGAATATTTAACATGTATCTATATACCTTATATATCGTCAAAAAGAAAAAAAAACATTATAATTTATGCCAAACTTAAGGTTCTATAATATTTATATAGATAAATTTAAGATTTTTTTCTTAATCCTATTTCTATGCTTTCGTTCATTTTATATGTGTCTAACTCGTCATTAGATCGAGTCTAGTGTTTTTTTTAAATCTTTTAAATACCATTATATATAAATTTTATTCAAAATAAAATAAATTAATCCACATGTAAGCCTCTGAATTATCGCTCATTTAGATAAGAGGCCCCTTTAATATTTCTACTATGTGAAATTATTAATAAACCCTTTCTATTAGCTTCCATCCACTGTATCCGTTAAAAAATCACGTGCCACTCCAATAATATAATGTAATTTAACACCTAAAATTAACCTAATTAAACAACTCACTAATCATCTCTCACGTGATCACCATCACTTTCAAGAGTATTAAATAAATCTCACTAATTTCAGATAATTAATTAATTAATTATTTCACATTATCATTAATGTCATTATATTCACCATCTCTCCCCTGATTGCTTTTCTTATCACCCCGGCCCTCATTGTCTTCCTCATTATCCCGTTCATTTCTTATACCCCAATCACAATTATTCAATATCTCTCCATAAACGTCATTGAAATTATCAAAACTATCAGTGTTCAGTGCTCCACCATTATCATTACCCATCACTTTAATTCACATCCCTATCACCATTCTTAATTATTCATTTCGATCTCCGTCTTTATTAAAATAATCAGAAAGAGGAATTAAATTTAGGTACCCACCATGAACCACAAACCCAACACAATAATATGAGTATAAAGAATCCACCTACAAACCAAAAATTGACACCAAAAAACAAAAAAAATATATATATAAGAGGAGACGAGAAAGTATTTTCTTACATTTGGTGCAATTTCAATTTGGGTGTTTTGGAATTTCAATATATATATAAATTCAACAGCCAGTTAATCATATGTTAGAAAGTATTTTCTCTCGATCTTGAACAGAAAGCAAGTGTAATGCATGTATGTACAATTTTACTCTTATCATCATATGTTAGAAACTATTATTTCTCAAGTTGGTTACCTTGAGGAGGAAAGTATGTGTATCAGCAGCAGTCATTAGGTCCCCAGTCTCATATTTGCTGTGATTTTTGGAGTAAGAGAAGCCAACACCGGCAGGGGAATCCAAATAAATAATATTTGAAACCTGAAAAGAAATTTGAGTGTAGATAGATATATGGCCACACAGTCAATATAGGGTTAATTAGTTAAAGAAATTACACATTGAGGGCTTAAAAAAAGCTTATTTTCTTTTTCTTTTTAGGATGAAACGGTAGAAATTCAATTTTAACCTTGGACCAGCTATATGGATTTAGATGCAATGTAGGCAGGCTTCCTTTTGATGGTCCCGCTTGAAAGTTGAATGGTCCTGCACATTCAGATGAAAGAAACTATTCCCAGTTAATATAAAATAAAATAATAATGAATGGATGAATGAATCGGTGGTGGTTGTAATACAAGTAATTAGGTTTACAATTATTTCGTGAATATAAAAGTAAAGGGCAGCTCAGTGTTCAAATAAAATCTAAGCGTGTTTTGATATTGAATTAATCCAAAAAATGATGAATTACTTTTAGTGATACAAAGGCTATTTTGAAAATATTTTACTATCTATATATATCTGTCTATCTTAGGCCGTAAATAGTTTTGTGTTTTTAATTGAAGCCTACTGTTAGCTAGGTATTGTCTCTCAACTCTCGATAGTGTAATTCATATAAAAGTAAAATATATATATCCTTTTTTTTTTTTAGAGAAAATATTATAAGCGTTGAGTGGTTGTTAATTAATTAATTAGAGGGGATGCATAAATATACCATGTTCATAAACAAATCCGTCAAAGCTTGAGCAACCAGGTCCCCCATTTAACCACAAAACAACAGGGTCTGTTGATGGATTTCTCTCTGAAACAACAAAGTAGTAGAATAGATTCTTCTCCTCCATTATTGTAATATACCTACACAGCCACAAATCAATTATAAATTAGTTATATACAAAGTATGATCAAAGAAAAAAAGCTGTATACAAAGTACGTAGTGCTGAGATTAACATTTACGTACCCTGAGTAGTGTTTGGATGGGAAGGGGCCACTGAAACCAGGTAACTGAGTAACAAGTGCTCCTTCTTGAGCTGCTTCAATTAATGCTGAACGACTCATCAAAACCACGCAGAGTAACAGAGCCACATCCAAACATAAGAAGTACAATTTAATATCCATGGCCGCCTTCATCACCATATCTTCTATGAGAAAGAAGGAAGGAAGAGAGAGGTAGTTTTGCTATGAAACAAAGGATATTATAAAGAAGAAGGTTTGTGAATTATAAAACGACACAGCTAGCCATACATAAAAAATGGATTCGGATTCCTAATAGGCAAGAAAGGAGACCATTATTTTGGTCAAAAGACGGGAAAAGGTATCTTTCAAAGGGCCAGAACTTGGAACCATTTGGCTAGCAAGAATATTGACCTAAAACCAAAAAGTGAAACAACCTTGGCACTATATGGTTTGTCTAATAAGCACTAATCTTTGCACAAGTTGCAGGGAAGAATCTGATATTTCTACTTGATTGCTAGTTTGGTAAGATCTGATCCGTCCTTCCCTGCTTGTATGTAAGATATATACTATCACTATACGAGTAATAAATCTAAGGGTAGGTTTTGCTGGTAAGGAAGTTTCATATACAAGGTTTTGATATCTTCTTTACTCTTTTAGGTTGAAATAAATAAGAAATACATTTTTAAAATCGTAATAGTAATAGTAATGTTGATAATAATAATCACTTTGTCTAAAGATATTATTTTTTTTATATATATTAAGAATATTATTAATTATTATGTCGTATTAACATGTTTTGATTATCCTTTTCAAAAATACTCTTGTTTTTTAAATTATATTTAAAATAAATTTTAATTTAAAATATTTTTTAAAAAATATATCATTTAAAATTTTGAGCAGCCCAATATTTATAACAGATGTAAATATAAATATAAATGAGTTGTTTGAAACATAATAACAATAATAATTCACATATAAATTGGAGTGTGAAAATAATCGTTGACTAGAGAAACAAATATACGAGTAAAAATGATTATTTTGGTAGGGGACAATGATGAATGCAAGGCAATGAGTGGTAAATGATGAGGCGTTAATTCCTATGAATGCATATATGGGGCATCATATCCACTTTCCATACTTTCCAGGCAAAGACTTGTTGACTTGTTTTTAGTGCGTTCTGTGAACCTATAGTGGGTGGAGTTGTACTTCCACTACCACATGGACTTTAAAAAAACAATATATATATATATAAAAAAAAACTGATTTGGTGAGGGGATTTCTGACTTTCAGGCCCCTGTAAGATTAGTGTTGGCCAACCAAAGAACACCAATTTGAATTATATATAATTCAACATAACCTATAAATCCGAAATTATCTATTGGAAACAATGGCACTATATGTTTGCTTTAGCAAGCAATGTTGAAAGTAGACGATTGCTATGTAAAATATGCTGTCCAAAAGTGAAACTATGGCGTCTGCTTCAAGATCATGTTCAGTATTTGCTATACATTTAGATCAATAAGTGGCTAGAAAAATAGAAGGTTGATTTCCTTGTTTTTCCCTTCGTCTATTTGGGGTTATGCTACTGTATTTGGTTTGTGCCAACCACTACAAACCTTTTCGGCGCTTTTCTAATTTCGGGCATCATCTACAACAATTTCAACACACAAAAAATAAAATTAATAAATAAAAGAACAAATTAATGTATTGGTTTTTTAGACAAATTGGTTTTACTAAGAAATGCTAAATGACAAACAAAAAGACAAATTTGCATACACAAGCAAGTTTAGCCTAATGATTATATACCCAGCTAACTTTCTTAGTGAAGTAAACTTTGAGTTCTAATAACTCTAGTTTGTTTGATAATTATATAATCAGGACTAATCCCATTATATAGCATAATAGATTTATTGGGCCTCCGATGAATGAAAAAAAAAAAAAAAAAAAAAAACCACATTTGCGTTTAATGTCTCAATAGCAAGTTACCTTTGCAAATGGCTCAATATTGACAAACATGAAGTGCAACTTTTAAAGCCAAAATCACATGCATATTGCCACTATATATTTAGAAGACTTTAAAAAATATGAAAAAAATAAATTAAAAAAATTATTTTGGAGTTGCCACCTAGTATTAAATGTAACTAAAAACTAAAAAAAAAATATATATATTGAATTTAGAGATTATGGGATAAGGAGTTAGTTATGCTTTTAGGAAAATAACAATCATCCAAAGGCACTCTTTCCGAGAAAAGATACTAAGTGTGGTTTAATCCTAAAAATATCCCATAAGAATTATATTTATTAAATTATTTCCTAAGTCTATTTTCAAATTTATTTGTCATCTAAGTCAAATTAATTTTTTATTTTTTGTTTGTAGCATTATATTAAATTGACTCGAGACCTAATGTCGGGAGTCGAGTCAATTTAGCATCAAATCCAATTACGTCCTGCCATGATTGACATGTCAAGAAACAACCTAATTAGCTATGTGTGTCAAATGAAAACACAAATGCAAAATTGATTTTTTTTTGTCTTTAAATTTATTTTCAAGTTGTCTAAATTCAAAGAATGAATTTTATTTTTTATCGTTAAATCATATTAAATTAATGTTGGACCATGAGTTTAGGAGTCTCGTCAATTTATCATAAAATCTAATTAAAATCCTAATATGATTGACATGTTGAGGAACAACTTAATTAGCTAAAGGTCTTTTTTTTTTTTTTTTAATGCTGAATAAAATTAGTTTGACTTAACTCTTTATTTTTTTAATAGCATTTTGTATTATTGGATAAAATATATCGAAGCCCATCGAGAAATGAAAATTCATACCTTAAAATAAATTTATAAACTAAATATTTTTATATTTTTTTAACACATCTAAAATTAAATATTTAGTATAAAATAATATAATAATTAAATAGAGTAAGAGAAATAAATCAAATAGACACTAAAAAGCGACTAAGATACCTTAAGATATTGCTAGAAAATAATGAAAACGTCCCTACTCTAGGAAATGACAGAATTGCATTTGGTGTCTAAAATGACCAAGTTGGCCATTTCACTGTCGGAGATCGTTGTCTTCGTTCGGTCACCAATCGGCATGTGGTTCACTCCTTCGTGTAGGGGATAGCTGGGCGGAGCTGCTAGTTCTGGCAGTGATGACCACTGCCTCATGACTGAGGAGATAGGTGGCCAACAAGTTTCGATGGTTTCCTCGTCTTTCTCCGATCAGTTTTGACTGAATTTAATGGTTTTCAATATTCAAAATCAAAAGAGAAACACCCTAAGACCTGTTAGAGCTTCGATTCAGCTCTTAATTAGTCCAATTTGGTTGACAAATGAGAGATTAAAACCAATCTAACTCGTCGGTCGGGTTTATCTTCTCGGTCGAATTCGGACCTATTTTATCTTTTCTTCCACAATTTTGGGTTTAGGGAGGTTGCTGGAGGTAGGAGGAGCAAGTCGATGGTAGTAGCCGCATTTGATTTTTCAAACAATGATTAATTTGGGAGGAGAAGAATCCAGATCTGGTGGAGTGGATTTCGTTTCAAATCTTGGCTTTCTCCATCGTTTTCGATCATTTCAAATGGTTGGGAAAGGTGGTTATGAGGTCAGGATACAAGATGGTGGTGGCTATTGGAGTGGTGTTGGCCAAAAAGTGACGGTTTTATGGGGAGAAGGCTGGCAAGTCTACGGGTTGACTTGCAGGTTCAGGGACGCATGGATGGGTATTTATGGGCTTGTTTGGCTAGACTTCATTTTCCAAGGCCGGCGACTCCTTTTTTTTTTTTTTTTTGTGAGAAAGTGATGATTTTATAGGTAGGATTTGGTTGGTGAAAAAATTAAATGTGGTCCCTCATTTTCCCTCTTCTTTCAATTTCAATGCACATTTTTTTTATTTTTTTCCAAACATGTCCTTAATCAAAATTGATTCTCATTCTCTTGATTGCTTTTAATTGGACCCCAATTCATTTTTATCTTTTGAATTTCCTCTCTCTCTCTTCTTTTTCTTTTTTATTTTTTTTATTTAATTAAAATTAGGAGATAATTCTATGAAATAAAAATCCTAAATAGTTATAAAATATCCAAAAATGATGGAAAAATAAATTAACAATGCAATATGAAATTGTTTTTTGGATTTTTCAATTTTGCTTCATCTTCTTTTCAAAAAAAAAAAAAAAAAAAAAAAAATTGCATGAAAGTAAACAAGTGTAAAAAAAATGGGTTATGACACATATAACTATAGCTCCGAGTATGATTGAAAAACCGTAATCGATTGGATGAATGGTTTAAAAGTTTCTTTAGTTTTAATTTTTAAACTTAAATTTTGAAATAAATATGTTGTCATAACCCAAAATTTTCTCATTTTTTTCTGTTATTTATTGCTTATTTTATTTTACTTTATTTCATTTGACTTTATTTTGAAGTTTACTATTAAAAAATAAAAAATAAAAAAATGATTTGAATAAAAAAAATTCATGAATCAAATCTAGAGACATAATCACATAAAAAAAAGTGTGATTGAAGTAATTAGGGATACAATCGGATCAATTGAAAAATTCAAAATCTAAATTACACTCTATAGGAATCCAAGTTGATAAAATTACTCTTTAGAAGGATCGAAATTGCATATAGGTACCGCCCTTGTTTCTTAAAAAAAAGAAAAAAAAAAAGAAGAAGAATTATACCTAGAAAGTTGAATTTATTTTATTTAGTTCAATTTCTTTTGAAGCACAACCTTTTTGAAAAAAACTTGCCTGTTAATCCAACCATGATATTGAATATTGAAATGTAAAACAAAACATATTAAATAATGCAATTTTAGTTAACCTTAATGGTACTCATAAAATTGGAGGTCCCCACTATTTAAAATTCATAATTAGATTTTTATTTATTTGATAGTCAAAAATATTCTTAAACTAGTTTACACATCGATCGAAATTAAATTTTTTGTTTGAATAAATTTATAATTAAATTTAAGAAATAATGATTAATTTTTTATTAGTCTTTGTATTTGATTTTATGAAATTAAATGTGGAACGAAAACCTAGTACTCTTCAATTATTCCTTTTCATTTACAGGCTTTGGCATGTGAGTTGCATACAACCAACTAGAAAATTAGGATCAGAAGCAAATGGATAAGTAAGGTCAATAGTAATGCACATGCCAAGCCTGTTCATTTTGATATAAAAATTAATTTACTTGATCAGTATCTGTCTCATCCATTTTTTGTGCATGCTAGTCTAGAATGAACTATTCATTTTTACATTTGATAAGTACGAGACATGAGAACAAGTTGCTAATAACATCCTTATATTATCTCTTAATTACATATAAATAAAAACGTAATAATCTTTTTTTTTATTCCATTCATCGAAAATAACTAATTACTACATTTAATGTGTAGTAATAAATACTAAAATATGTTAAAAATAAATCATTTTATATTATTTTATAGGTTAAAAAAATATCAATTATTTTCATGTTATAATGAAAAATAACTAATTTATTTATATACTCGATCACTTTTTGAAATAAAAATTTTATTTTATTTTATTTTATCTATTTTTAAGTACTAAAATTATTTAAAAAATATTTTAAAAAATAATTTTATATTATATTATTTAATTGATTTTTCATAAATGAAATAATTACTTTTATCCAATTATTTTATTTTATAGGTTAAAAAATCAATTATTTCCATATTATAAATGAAAATTAACAAACTTATCTATTAATAATTTGACCACTTTTAGAAATAAAATTTTTATTTTATTTTATCAATTTTGAAGTAATAAAATTAATTAATTGATTAATTTTATTTACTTATTGAGAATAATTTATGTAAGATAGTATTTATTGTTTGAAAAAAAAATTTTCTTTGATTTGTTTCAATGTAATATATTTTATTTTAATATTATCTATTTCATAAAAAAATTATGAAAAAAATATTTAAAGTCCAAAAGAGCGAAATGTATTTTCGAATTTAAGGAAAATGAGTTGGACATTGTGGAAAGAATGCTTAGACATGGGCTCAAGGCCCATCGAATAACACTAGCTTGTAGGGGTGTTCGTTAGGTTATTTGGTTTAGTTTCAAAATATTTTAGATGTTTTTTTATTAATCGATTTTTTTTTAAATAATCAAAATCAAACAAAAATGTTATTTGATTTTTCGGTTCAGTTTTGATATATTTCGGTTTTGGTGTTCGGTAATTCAGTTTTTATCTATTTTATTTTATTTTATTTTACAAATGATTGATTTTATTAAAGTTCTTAAAATCTCTATTTACAATGAGTTTCTTTTTGCTTTGTAAACTACAAGTTAGGAACCTAAGTTACGTCCCAAAAAAAAAAAAAAAATAGCAAATGCATTGGTGGATAAACAAATAATAAATTGTTCACTTAAGAAGGCTTAAATTTAAGACGATAGAAAATCTACCAACGCCTTTGTTATTTTGTATACATCTAGACTTGTAACGAGAGACAAAAAGAGCACGTACAAAGTTGAAGGAGGAAGCGCATCTTGGGGAGAAGGGTTTTTTCAATTTAGGGATGCAATTAGTGATCTAACTTATATATATATATTAAAATTTTTTATTTTTTGATTAATCGAATTTTTTTATAAAGATAATTGAAATCGAACCCAAAAATTGAAATTATTTCAATTTGATTTTTTATTTTAATTTCTAAAAAAAAGCACCAAAATTGATATTTTGGTGCGATTATTCAGCTTTTACCGGATAGTGAACACCCAACTAGCTTGTGTGAGGAGACCAAAATTTTAAGGTCTAGAATAAGTATTATTTTTTTATGTATTCAATATGGGCACCAAACAGTTTTATATATTCTTTTGTATTTCTATATCTTATTTTATTTAATATCTATTTGTTTATCCAATAAGGTATGAGAGTAGCTAGAGCCATTGTATGGTTTAAAGCTTTTTATAAAGATAACTGAAATCGAACCCAAAAATTGAAATTATTTCAATTTGATTTTTTATTTTAATTTCTAAAAAAAAAAAAGCACCAAAATTGATATTTTGGTGCGATTTGGTTTGATTATTCAGTTTTTACCGGATAGTGAACACCTAACTAGCTTGTGTGAGGAGACCAAAATTTTAAGGTCTAGAATAAGTATTATTTTTTTATGTATTCAATATGGGCACCAAACAGTTTTATATATTCTTTTGTATTTCTATATCTTATTTTATTTAATATCTATTTGTTTATCCAATAAGGTATGAGAGTAGCTAGAGCCATTATCCATATATTTTTAATTCACTTATTTATTGTATGGTTTAAAGCTTTTTATGTAATAATAATAATAATAAAAAAGATAATTACCCCAAATATATTCATATAATTTGAACTCTTATTGATGTCTAACAAAGCCATATCAAGATTGTTCTCCATAGTGGGACTTGGTTGAAAGATGTGGCAAATTTTGAGCCTGAAACCTTAAAAGAACAAGTGGCTAACCCAAGTGGCAGTACATATCTTCACATCACAAACCTTATCCATAAAACCACAGAAAAACAAAAGTAGAGGCTCAAACTTAATTCAAACCAACGCCCCATGCATTAGAAAACAGAATGGAAAGAGATGAGTGCTTCTGTTTCCTCCGCTCTTGCAGCCTCCTCAACTACTTCACTCGCCACTCCTGGTGGCTTACGCCGTCAATGTTGCCGAAGTAGCAGTCGTTGTTCCTTCACCTCCAGGCCTTTTACATCCTCTATTCACCACCCCTTTATACTGAGAGGTGCGTAGCCTTAGTTCTATTTTCTTCTTTGCACATAAATAAATAGAAAAAAAAAATTTTGATTTTCTTACAGAACAATTAAACCCAATATGTTTCTGCAGTTACAAATGATTCTAGTAGGACTGAAATGTCTTCAGCTGAGCCTACCAATGAACGTTCTGAAGCTGATAAGATCGTTGATGGAATGGACTTTGGTGAGCTTTGCAATGAGTTCGAGTGCGTTAGTAGCCCGCTGGTGGAATCTACTGCCAGACAGCTTGTCCGTGATATCCTAGAACTACGCGAAGGCAATCGTGCCCTTGGAACCTATGCAGTTTCTGTCAGATATAAGGTATTCTTTCTCCTTTTTGTATGAATAGAAAAGTGAGAGAGAGAGAGAGAGAGAGAGACGTTTTACTGAAGCTTGGTGGAGTCAGGGGAGAAGAAAGTTAGACAGTCTTAATTATAATATATGGTGGCATGGCTTAGGAAAAGTTATTTCTAACTTCGAGTAATAACCATAACCAAAAAAATAACTTTCCATAAGTTGCTTATAATTAGTTTAAGAAAACTGTAAAATTTGTAACCTTAGTTTATGCAATTTCTGTTGAATGTTCAACATGACATGATAGAGAGGATTCAAGTTAAGGTGGACAGAATTAGTAATGCTAATTGTAGCCTTGGCTGTTGTAAGAGAACCAAAAAAAAAAAAAAAAAAAAAAAAAACTTTATTTGTATGCCAATGATAAGCTGTTCTTGAGATATATTTGAAATGAAATATGGCAGGCTGCAACTGCAACCATCTCAGAGAAATGAACATTTAAATGCACTTGTTTGTGATTGTAGTTGGTAACAGAACAGTACACCAGCATCAGGGATTTTTTTTTTTTTGGATAAGTTGAGGAAAATTCATTAGATCACCTTGGGAGGAAAAGGCAAGCAACAAAGGAGAAATAACCAATTAAATAATTAACCAGCAGCATTAGGGAATGAGATATTAGTTTCAAATCAGAGCAGAATTTTAATTGACAACGAGAAATAATCCAATAAATTAAGATGAAAATCACTAAAAAATTGAGTAATTAATTATCAGTCTTTGATATTGACTCGTAAGTTGTCGCATGCTGGCAGTGGCACAAACACTTTTAGTGCCATGCCAATCGTGCTGCTGCTGCTGTTGCATTGGAGCAGAGAAGTACTGTCAAGGATCTTAGTTCAATAATTATTTAATATATAGAATATTATTTAAATGTTCTGTTGTTGGAAGAACAACAAATTAATCTACAAATGTTCCTTTGCTTATAGTAAATTGGAACTTTTATTTTATTAGTAATTGCAGGATCCATTCAGAAGTTTCATTGGTCGTGAGAAATACAAGAGACCACTATGGGCAACTGGCGCTCTGGATAACCCTTCTGCGGTGAGAGTGTTTCTATATCATCTCTGAGGCTCCTGCAAATTTGTTTACTTTCCTTCATTTTATCACATACTGTTATATATATATATATATATATATATATAGTCACCATTTACAACTGTCCCATGTACATGGTCACCATTATCTTAAAGTTGCTGCTCGAAGACTCCTTTTTCTTCAGTAATTTACATGCTCGACTTCATCTGCATTCTTCCAAAACCACATTTAAATAAAAACAACACAGACAGCTTGATCAGGAAACGGATTGCAGATTTCTTTATGATCATGACTGTTTATTTGTCCATCTTAAATTTCTGCTTGTTCATTACACATTCTAAAATTGTATTATTCAGCACTGTTTTAATTAATTTTTTTTCCTTCTACACACTTTGGCTGTCGTAGACTGTACAAGAAATGGTAATGCTGTCAACAAGTATCCTGAGTATAAAGTGGACAATAACAGGAAAGCCCAAATCTTTTATTGCTGGCGTGGGGGAGATTTGATAATTAAAGTGCATTCCAAATTCACTTTAAACCAGATCAGTGGCCAAGTGATTGAGCACGAAGAGTTATGGGACTTATCAGCTTGTTCAGTTATTGGCCAGGCTTTTTTTGGACTTCGCGTAGATTATTTGCTACGATTGAAAATGGGAAGGACTTCGCCGATCTTGTCAAAAGCTTGACAAACCGTATGTCAACCTCAGAAGAGAACATCGAGATGTATCCTGACCCTTCTGGTGATCCAACAAAGGTCAGCGTTAATATTAGCTTCGAGAAAAAACAGCCTTTAGAATTACTTATCCAGTCTCCTCATATATGAAGACGTAAAAATGCATTAGATGTGCATGGGATTATGCAGAATACAATTACTAGAAACTAATTTCTCATGAATTTGGAAACATTCACAAACAAAATTTTGTTGATTGGTAATTTCTGGAAAACTGCTCCTTGAGTGTACGTTAACATTTGATCATGCATAGTGTTTGTAGTACCTTAGTCTCTGCTATTCTTAATTAATTTGTGATGTAATTTGTTTGGATATACAGTTCTTTCAAAGGGATGACAGCTTCCAAAGAGACGCATACCAGATTGCGCTATTTCTGGCAGTCCTATATTTTGTGGTACAGTTCTTGAGGACAACCTTGTAAGACCTGTGCTGCCTATATTCCTCTATTCTATCTTGGTTGAGCCAGTGGATCAGACTGCTGGATCAATGGTACTATACTATAAGTGTAATTTGTGTACTATACTAAAAATATATTTTGTAACATACAAATTAAGCATAAACAAGAAAGGGTGAAGTAACAACTACATAATGTTTTGGGGCGAGGTTCAAGCCCTACAAGGTACAAATATTTTATTTATTTATTTTTACCGGATCCATGTTTGTTTGACCCACTGGTCCAACTAGTAGGATTTTATCGGTTTTGGCAAGGTCTCTTGTGCGTTTCGGTTTTTAGTATCAATCCGAACCTATTAGACAGCTAGATCATCGAGTTTCTAGTTGGATATTTTTTAAGATATTTTTGTTAAAAAGATGTCAAAAAAAGAAAGAGAGAAAAAAGAAAAAAGAAAAAATGTTAAACTAATTTAGTAATAAGTTCTACTATAATTTACCTGTGAGAAAAGTTCATATTTAATTGTACTGCATCTTAAATTAAGGTGGGGGATGTTGCCCCTCCACCTTTTCTTTCTTTTCCCTTCCCTCTCACGCCATTTTCTCTTCAGAAATTTCCCCAATTCTCTCTTAATCCCAAAGCTAAGACCTTGTTAAATTCACTTAATAAAACTATAAATAAGTAGATTTAAGTAGAGTTTAGTTGGATTGAAGTTTGAAAAACTTAGAGAATTGGAATAGAAATTGGGATTGAAGAGTAAATTATCAAAACTAAGATTTTTTTATCAATTGATTTTTAAAATGGAATGTTTCTATATATTTGGTGATGATTTTAAAGTTAGATTAGATTGGGTTTGTTGATTGAATGAGAAATTGATTAGATTAAGGTTAGGATTTTTGAAATCCATTTGGAGAAAACTAGATTAAGTGATTCTAGTTGATTGAATGATTGGTAATTGTCTTGAGTAAGTGGTTTATGAAGTTAATGTGAAGTAGAATTGAGTAAATTTGAGTAATTGAGAGGTTGAAGATAATGAATAGTGAAAAACCTAAAAATTAGGTTTTGAATTGAAAAGAATTAAAGAAAAATAAAGAATTAGGTAATATAAATGCCATTAAAGACGAATCGAATGTGTATTGAGTTAATTAAAATGGAATTGATGAGTCAATTGAAAATTTATTGTGTGAAGATTGATTGAATTAAGGATCGATGATGACATATAGTTAGATAATTTTTTAAAATTGTTAGAGAGATTGTAGAGTCTAGTTAAAGTTATCGGTTTGAGTCCTTTCGATCAATTTCATTTTTATTGATAATCTCGTATTCGTAATCCTAGGATAATTTATTATTTAGATTATTCTTTGATGTATGATATTGATGATTGTTTTACTATCTTATGTTATTAGATTTCTCGGAGCGGACGACTCAGTCACGAGCAACCTTAATTTTGTTCGATCTATCCTTTATACTATGAGTGGATATTATATAGCATGTTGTATTTTTAAATTCCCTTAATAATTTTACCATGCATCATTAGTTTATGTATGATTTAAATGCATCTATTATAACTTAGACGAGATATGAACTCTATGAGCATTTAAAATGATTTCGTATAAAAAATGATTTGGTATGATTCTACTAAGAGATTTAAGTATATGTTTGAGCGAATGTTTTACTTGGTTTGATATGTGATTTTGAATTCAACTATGAATATATTTTAAATTTTTATTTTGATTATCCGTATAAATTTTTGTAAATGCTTATTTGATATGGTAATGTATTATCAAGTTGATTTTGATCATGCATTGTGTTTGAAATACTCGATTTGAAATATGTATAAGTATTTATAGTTTTCAAAATATTTTTGAGACTTTAGGGAGCCTAACTAGGGGCGTAGCCTTTAAGCTCAATAATATGAGACTCCGGTTAGCAAGAGAGGTAGAGTGCTAGCTCGTGTGTCGGTCAACATATGAAAACCTAGTCATGGGAGGCATGACCTTTGGGTGTTCGCATCCAATGATACATTTTCATCCCATGGGTAAAAAAAACCTAGATATATGTTTTAATATGATTACGATATATTTGTATGATTTGATGATTTGATATAAAATGGTCTTGAACCATTTAATTTATGATGTATGATTTGGTTTTATGATGTGCATCGTTTTGGAAAAACTAGCATTACACTTTGAGTTGAATTTTAAATTATCATCTTTATTCGTTTCCTTTCTTTAGATGCGTTATATAGTATCTACTCATCTGAACTGTTGATTCCTTACCCCTCACTATTTCGGTTTTGTTGGATTTGTGAGGGTGCCTTTTAGCTTCCATTTGGCTACGTGTTTTTTAAGTTGGCACATTGATTGTGCAACTTATCTCCTTATAATCTCTTAAAACTTATGTTTGATTCTTTTATATTCTTAGAAGCTCTGCGAGTTATAGCTTATGAATAATGTATTAAAAATTGATCATAGATATTAATTTGAGAAATACCAAAAAAAAAAAAACACTCGAATTATGATTTGTGTTGAAATTATAATGTGATGAATATTAAGAATATTGTAAATAAAGCTGATATTGGTTTGATGATTGTAGTATAAGTATTAAAGGCTTGCTTAAGTGAAGATAGGCCTTACATTTTTCTCGATTCTTATATCGATCATGACCCATTCTCGGGGTCGTGACAAGTTTGGTATCGAGCATGATTTTAGAGTATAGGATAATTACGGAGCATAAGTTATATTCTAATCCATGTTCTTGCCTCGAATTAAATGGATCAATCAACTAGTGTGCACCTTAGTTTCTCTACTTATATTCTTAAATTACGTGTAAGAAGTAGGGTTTTATCATGTATATTCCCTCGTATGGTTTGCTTATTGACATATGGTCGTGTTAATTTTTCTCTTCATCTCGTGTCTCTTAGCTATTGCCCGTATGGCTTTCCTTTCTTTCTTGAACAATTTTATGGTGACATATGGTCATGTCACACTTGCCCTCTAACTTTGTGTCTCTAAGCTTTTACTCGTGTGAATTTTCCTCCCTTGGATGACAACTTTATTGGTGAGACACGAGCATGTCAATTTTAGTGTCGAAGCCATGCTAATACCTATTGCCCATGTGTCTCTTTGTTTTAAAAATATGCATAAGCATGTTGATTTTTCTATACAAATCGTGCCTATTCTTTCTACCCATGTCTCTTTTTATGTCAAACACACATATGGGTATGTCAAATGTGTTGTGCAAATCGTGCCTTTTCTTTCTACCGGTGTCTTTTTTTATGCTAAGCACATGCATGGGCATATCACTTTCTTGTATAAGCCATGCCTACCCTTACTTGCTCGTGTGCCTTTTTGTGCTAAGTACATACATATACGTGTCAAATTGCTCTTCAAGCCATGTGGCAATGTTATCGTGTGCATCTAAATTAAACTCCTAAATTCCTACAACACAAATGTAGTAAAGGAGAGAAGGGATCGATCCCACGAACGAGTTCTATTATGTTAGTCATTACAAATCAAGAAGAAACTAAAATAAAAAGGGGGTTTTGGATTCAATTAAAATATAATCAAAACTAAATAAATTAAATTCGGAAGATAAATTTAAGACAATTATTCAAGTAAGCAAGCCTTGGTTAGGTCACATCCACTTTTGGAACTTAAGATTTATCCTTGGTGCGTAAAAATATCGGTTTATCATTCAAATATTTATTGTGATATTAAAATCAATCTTTCCTTATAATTAGCTGACTAGAAACATATATTCTAATTAACCCTTATTATTTAACAACCTTAGTTACGATTTAAGATTTAGTTAAACAATAGCTTTATGTATCGGAAAGACCAACAAAGCAAGATAACACAACACATGTAGTGCATTTAATCGAGTTAAACAATCTTCCTAAGAGTCATTAGTTTCGATGCGACAAACCATACACTTTTAGATGCTACAAGAATAAAAAGGATTGAACAATTACGGATTCAATATTTAATCTAGCTATAGATTATATCGGTTAATAAACTAATTGTGCATGTTAGAAATCAACCTAAACAACATGAAAAAAAGCATAGAAGAAAGTTTAATACTTTAAATAAACAAAATGATTTGCATTAGTGTTTAAGCCCCTCAAAATCTTTGATTTCCAAAAGCTTAAGTTACCTTTATTAAGAAAAGAGATTTAGTTGTTCATAACGGTATTCATGGCGAGCATTAGGAGAGAAGAGAAAAATAAAGTCGATAATACTCCAAAGAATAATAAAAAGAGTGTATGCCTTATTCTCGTTACCTTTCTATTTATATGATTTTTGTATTTCCTAAAAAAGGTACAAAATTATCATTCCTCTCTCTTCCCTTTTGAAAAATCCTAGTCTTCTTACGGGTAAATTACAATAGAATTTATCTTATAGTTGAGGTCTATTGTCCGTCTCTATGGTTTTAGCGTGCCCACGTCAAGTTGCAACGTGCCCACGCCTTCATACTTTTTCATATCCACGTCCACTGTGTCCGCGTGCCTATGCCTTTACTCTTACGTGCCCACGCTTCTCATGTGTTCTAGTGTTTAAATTGGCTTTGATCAACAATTTTCTTTATATGGCTCTTTTAACATAATTATAAACCAATTCCATATCCTAACCTATAAAATACAAAAGTACTTAAAGTATAGCATTTGGACAACTTAAAATAGTAAAATGCAGGGGAATTAAACAATTTAAACATATACATTTTGATAACTATCACCATGTTTACCCCTTCTACTTGGGTGTCT